CGGTAATGCTAAGGTACGACAGAGGGCAACCGGGGATCTCCACTCTCCATAAATAGGTCAGGTTGTCGTTTCCCACAGGTTACGCTGGGTAGGTCAAGTACTTTATACGACAGAACACCGTCTGCCCATTGAACCCTATTCAATCTAACCTTGTAGCGGATTAAAACGACACTGAGGTGCTCAGTCGGCAAACTGAAAACACTACATTTCCAGACGCGTTGTGAGCTGAAAAGCTGGAGTGAACTGCTTTCTTTCTTATGTGATCAAATTTACTTAACCAGTTCCTGACTAGACTTAGAAATGGCCTCAAATGTTAGCAAACATTTGCGTGAAATCCGGTATGATTAGGAGGCTGCTGTACTTACGCTGGGTAGGTCAAGTACTTTATACGACAGAACACCGTCTGCCCATTGAACCCTATTCAATCTAACCTTGTAGCGGATTATAACGACACTGATGTGCTCAGTCGGCAAACTGAAAACACTACATTTCCAGACGCGTTGTGAGCTGAAAAGCTGGAGTGAACTGCTTTCTTTCTTATGTGATCAAATTTACTTAACCAGTTCCTGACTAGACTTAGAAATGGCCTCAAATGTTCGCAAACATTTGCGTGAAATCCGGTATGATTAGGAGCTGCGCTGCTGTACCATGTGCGCTGTGAGTGTTCCTTAGTTGTTCTGTATAGAGCAAATTACATCAGTCCAACACTGGGGATAATATTTCGAGCTGAGGAGCAGAGCTATTCTTCTGCAAGGCTGTCTCTCTTGAGAGAGGGGATTTCGTCGTACTCTCGTTAACTAGATCCCCACAATCTTACCCGATCATATTGCTTTGTTAAAAAAGTCACACTCTTCTAGCAGTAGCACCTCAAATAGGTGGCATCGTCTTTTGTAACATTGCTTTTATTAGGAACTGGTTCCAGTGATCCCTCTCTAAGTTGAACACACTATCGTTTTTCCCATTCAGTTAGCCGAACAGTTGCATCTTCCTTGTGTCTGTAAATCTGTAGTCGATAGATTGCATTCGGTCTTAGTGTGTGCAGACCTGTGGGCTGTCCTCTATTTAAAAACTGGGCGTATAAGTTTATAATGAAGAACATCGGATCGCTCCTTCCGTTTTTTCCGTCGTCATATCTGTTGTGTGCAGACCTGTGGGCTGTCCTCTATTCCAAAACCGGGCGTATAAGTATATAATGAAGAACATCGAATCGCTCCTTCCGTTTTTTCCGCCGTCATACCTGGCCCGGTTTAGGACAACTGTGCAAGCACATCGTTGCTTGTTGATTTTCATAGTCGATATAGTTATTGTCAATGTGTGGTTTCTGTCTTCCAACCTGGGCAGTCGTTTCAGCCCTACAAACCACAGAACAATTGGTAGCTAGTCCTTAGGAAACTGTTGGTATTTCGCGACATTTGTCTTTGTGCCGAACCTGGTCACAGCATGTATCACACAGAAACCAAGCGGTTCGTCGTAAACCCAGTTTATGGATACTAATTGTTTCGGTTCTTCTTGCAGGAAAACGATTGTATTGTAAATGTCATGTCAAGATTTAATTTATACGTTGCAGATCCTGATAATTGACAAAGCAGTTCTGACTAATCTAATTTACCAAAAATTTCTCACACTTGCATTGCTTGTGAGATTGGTAGCCTGCGCTGCATTTTCTAATTTTTGGCGCATTGGGATTACGACCCTCCCCTAAAACAAATATGGGTAACACCCTTTTTCGTACAAAGGTTTCCTCCAAATGGTTTGTCCCGTGTACTTACGTAGGTATTTTAGAATAGGATTTTGATATCACATTGTAATTTACTTGGAATGACGGATGAATAGCTCTTCGCACTGATGGTATTATCAGGAAATTTTACCACCAAGGCCGTGGACGATTCGATTGCAACCCAGTGCACTGAACATTTTGTTGACCTGATACGAAAAAATCCGTCAAGTGTAATACAAGATTGGATGTTCCCGTCAAGTGTAATACAAGAAGAATTGGATGTTCCGTTTATACTGGTTGGCTTATGAGTGTTCATGAGTGTTCGGTACATGTAGATAGACACGATAATCATGTCTCTGGAATCTTGAGTTTTGTCAAAATCTTAGCAGTCTGCCAACGGTTTGATTTAAAAGAGTTGCAGGTCGAATTCAATTCGTCTGCCGCAAGAGATGAAGGCATCTTCCAAGTCGTGATATTTACCTAATTAACATATCGTTACTGCAACATGACATATTTTTATGTTACATTGACTCACCCATTTTTTGGCGAACGATGTTGCGGAAAATGATGGCTTCTTACTAGACCCACTGGTGTTTAGTTCTCATAACATATTCTTCAATTAATGTCGATTAGCCTAAAAACAGAGCTAGTTGGCCCCAAGGGACCCGGCAATTTATCTTATCCTTGGACCAATCAGACTCCAACTTTCTGCAGTGTATACAATTTATGTTGCCATGTCATGCAAAAGACATGTAGTGCAAGCTATTCGGTGTCTATTTGAAATCAGGGTTTTCTGTCGTCCATCTAGCTGCCAGGCCAACTCAGTGTTTACAGTGGGCGTTTTTCCAGCTCAAAAATGATTTGGTAAGGAACGGCGCCATACGCTTGCTGAATCTGCTTTTGATCACTCAAGGGAGAATCATCTTGCCGTAGCAGCGGTATGTAAAAAATTCAAGATAATACGTCTGGCCTCGACAGGCAGAAGTTTAATTGGCCAAGATAGCATGCTCTCTACACCCGTTGTTGCCTGTTATCTGATTAAAAAAAGCTGACCAATGAAAATGAGGACCGTTATCATTTATGATGCCTTGCGAAAGGAACAGAAAATTTCGTTACGTACTGTCAGTTTTGCTCGGGTTTTGCATGCAGGCAACCGCAGAAAAACAGGACAGCTGCTGCGAATCGCTTTTGACACCCTAGAAACTACTGGGAAGATATGCTCCACTAATCGCACTTTTCACTTTGGCGTGTCACTCTTGAACTTGTGAGTCCATCAATGTGAATCGTGTTCCTTGTACGGACGATCATTTTTTGCGACTAAAACGCAGACCATCTCCATCCTAACTAAGAGGTTACTAAACAACCATACTGAAACCGGTCGTGGGCTGTCGAGGAGTTTTAAGCAACCTTGTGAGTAGTTTTCTTTATGAAAACCATACTGAATCTACTTTCCCTATAGCTCATACACCTTTGGCTGACTGATAGATGACCCAATGGAATGACACAATGCTCAGTAATTCACATCAGGGGTGTATTGGCTTTTTTATTCATTAGAAATTGACTCCTTGGAAAAGCAAGTTGCAGACGCGGGGCTTGATGGGCTACTCGTTAACTTGTATAGTGCACCTGTATCCACATATTTTCAAACATTCGCATCCCAACACATATATCCCTACTTGTACTTCAATACTTCATTCCGTTAATACTGACAACAGGATTAGCGCGCCCTCCTGCAATCCAAGGGAGCGGTGTTTTCATGAACCATTTGACTCTGAATTGAATGGTTTCTCCCTGTCAAAAATGCTTGATAATGTCTTACACATAACTGAAAATTGGACAAAATACGTCGTTGAAATAACCTGTGTTGGTGTTTCTGAAAGCAGTCCTTGATGAAATTAAAAAAACTATGCAAAATCTACAATTTTCTTAGAGGGGCGTTCAGTATATGATGGACGAAAGCTGTCATCTTATGAAGAAGAGACATTTAACTCATGTGAAAAAGTTAAACAGCAGCAAAACGCCTTTTCATTGGCCATCAGGATTCTGCTTCATACTAGGTACCGGTTGCTCTTCAGGGCAGGACACGAGTTAGTTTCTCCAAAGTATGATAATGTGTATGTATGTACCCTGTGGTCTTGCCTTTGAAGGGTAGTAGCTGCTTTTCAGTTTCTTCACATCCACTTTCCGAATTGGGATACCACAGCTTCAGTGGATGAGGACTGGCCAAAATTCCAGAAGAGTAGCAGGGCTGTACATTAGTGAGATTTCTAACACCACATAGAAAGCATCAAACATTATTGAATGGGCTCAAACTGGCGAAACGTTTTTGAACATTTCACACCCTAAGCCCTGGGTCACACTGTCTCCAACGCACCTCTTTGTGAAGCAAATGCACCATAAAGTTGTACATTAAAAAGTATTACTACCTCAGCTTGGCAGAAATGTAAAAATGCAGCAACACCATAATAGGAATTTGAACTGGCCCCTGTGGAAACTGGTGTACACTTTTACAAACACATCCATATAGTAATGTGATAAATGTAAATTCAAGAAGGGTGAACACCCAATTGCAAAAGCCAAAGGAATTGGAACAGAAGGAGAGGTACTCGAGGCAGCTAGGAGCGGTAAAGATTTTCACAGTTGCTAACTAATTCTCTGCTTGAGTAGTGTATGGGCTCACTAATCAGTCCACTTAGTACACAAGTACCACAAGCGCTTGCGACGATGACGTTCCGCGGTAAGAAACGTCCATAAGCGGGCGACGGTCAGATATCGACCGAAGTGTTTTGAGACTATATAACTTAAGGTAGGAACTCGTGTTTGGACAGAGTGTGAACCAGCTTGGTATGGTCTTGCACTTGAATTACTCTGATTCTTCGGCTTTCCACAGAATCATTCCAGTCAGGACTCCTGAACACCTTGAAGAACATCCTTGCGGTCCTCGTCCGTAACGGATGAAGTACGTAGGTAGTGGATCTGAGTTTTGACCGTTATCATAAATCTAACATTGACAGGACAGGAGTCTTCTCACCAGGGGTAACATAATACTGTTCAGGGGCTTTTGGAAAGTCCACATGCAGCTTAGTCTGTCCATCTACTGAAATGCTTTTTCATTTTAAGCTTTTTGTTACCTGGTTCGATAGACGAACTTTTTCTGGGAAATTATAATATCAGTATAGGAAATCGTACTTGGAACCAGCGGGCAATTTAATCGCGCCCTGTTAGCAAACAATGCTGACTTTTCTCGCCACTAAAGTAGTTCTATATCATTTTCCTCTTGCAGTATGAAACAATTGCTGCTGCATTTCAAGAATACGTCCCGTGTAGCGATTATCGAGCCTTGGTTGCCGAGCAGATTCAAAAAGGAGTGGACTCGTATCCAGAAAAATATCAATTTGCGGGATTTCATGAGGCTACGGCTTCGGGATTGAAGTGAGCGATTCTATCGTGCATCAGCTTTCAATCTACTTTTAAAATTTTACGTTTCCGGACATACTTTCTCTGAACCATTTGCTAAAATATTCTGGTGATTACTTGATCTGAGGCTTATTCACAAAAGACGCCTATATCCTCTGTCAACCGAATTTGTAGTTGAATTGTGTACGCCCCATTGGCCAGTGGTGTTTTCAATCATATCGACGTCAAATTTGCCCGATTACTTCTCTTTATCAAAACATTTGAAGCATCGTGCTATATGAAACTGATTCACCGTTTTCACTTAACAATGGAAAGCGTGACCTGAATTCATGGCGACTGGTTTACACATCGACTTTTGTCTTTATCGCTGCATAATTTTAAGGCATCGAAGTAACCAGATTTAGAAGAACAACAACAAAATGCTGAGTGCAACTGTTGAGATCGAAATATGCGTAACCATATAGCAGAATGTGGTACTTTTTCCAAACGCAGTTCACCGTGCATGTGCTTTTCATCTGTCATATGTTATGCTGTTTCGTCACATAGGAACGTGTGTGTAGTAAAACCTAAAGAGTTTTAAATTGATGGTATTTCGCCAAGTCTAAAGCGATTTATTCGTAAGTATCATCTACCCTAGAAGCCCTGCTAAGTGACTATCTGGGCAACGGCGGTTTACGGTGACCTCAAAATTCTAGAGTTTTGGTTAATTCAGGCTCCGGAAAGGGTCGACGGACTAAGAACCACCTGTCCCAATTAGACTGTGCCTAAACGCTGTCAATTTATTCGATAAAAGATCTGGAAATTACAGTTGTCGTATCAGCGCCGCAAGAAAAGCAAGGAGCGATTTAAAGAGCATGCAGCTTCACCTTGATTTTGCAATTGATGTGGGAGAGCTCTTAATACCTGTCTACGTGGAGATGGTAGTCAGAAAGATGATTACGAGTAGTCCAACATAGGAGTGGTTAAGAAAAATATCCGGTCATAAACCCGCCAACTCTGTTCGGCAAATGAGCCAGCCAGGGTTAACTAATGTATAGTACAGTTCTTCCATTCCCTTGGACAGCCGACACCTACGAATGCCACCTAGATTGTGCAGTAAACTACATCATGTTTGTTGGAGTGCCGCTAAAAGTTTTACAGTTGCAAATCAGCGTTTACTACACATAAATGACTAGGAATTGAAGGTACATCCTCTGCGGCGCTCTGAAATCTCGGAGCATACAACTACTTCACTGTGTCCTTCACTGTAACCGTTCCAGTATAGCGGAATACCATTTTCTGGATGTGACAGAGACTTATTACTGTTATAGTGTGTAGGTAGACTTTTTTCACGAAATTTTCAGGCAATTTGTCCATTACTATGATTCATATGCTAAGATGCACTGATATCCTATTTGACACAACAAAAACAATGGAAGGTCTAAAATGCTGAGTGGTTGAGATCGTTACTATGATTCATATGCTAAGATGCACTGATATCCTATTTGACACAACAAAAACAATGGAAGGTCTAAAATGCTGAGTGCAACTGTTGAGATCGAAATATGCGTAACCATATAGCAGAATGTGGTACTTTTTCCAAACGCAGTTCACCGTGCATGTGCTTTTCATCTGTCATATGTTATGCTGTTTCGTCACATAGGAACGTGTGTGTAGCCTAGAAAGGGTTGCTCCTAGAGAAAGGAAGAAGGCCTTCGCTGCGCAGTTATTTACTAGAAAATGCCAATTGACCCGTTACAGACTGTTGGACAGGGAAGCAGAACTATCATTTGCATCTTATTTACAAAAGTGGACATCCATCTTCTTGAACTTTCCTGGATATTCATCGACTCCAGTCATGCATTGCTCAAATCCAAACAAATATTACAAAGCGGCTCCAGAAATTCCGCAACAGATCTCCCTTTTTCAAGAGATGCAAAGTGAAATTCTATACTACTCACATGCCTCCCCATCAGTATTATCACCGTTATATTAGTGGGCTTTATCGCCATTTCGTTCTTCGGACTTCAACCCTGTAGCTGCGAGTATGGATGTCGAAACGCCTGTTCTGTCTCACAGTCAGCGACACCCTGTATCCTCTTACACAGCCTACAGTAGTCCATTTACGACACGTCAATTTGACCCTTTCAATGATGGCATGGTATAACGCCTTGTCCGCCTGTGTGAGGCCATATACAAACAAACAGCTAGACCATTCGTTTGCCTTCAAACTTGGCGTGTCAGTAGAACTCCCACCAAGATCAAAGTGTCATCGCTGACTAGCGCTATTGCTTTCGGCTGGGAAGACGGCGTACAGACTCCCACGGATAATGCTGGTACCAACAGGAGACTACGTGGCGACATTAAGGCTAATGCTAAATCAGAGTTGCTGCTTCTTGTCTCCTAAGTCGTCGAATTCCATGGTTATTTAACCTCGGTATTTCCAGCTAGAAGGTTGCATTTATATTTCGTACGTTTGCGTTAAATTAGCCCGTTCCTAAATTATTTACGGACAACAAACCTGTGTGGAATCCCCTCCCCTAATTATTCTAGTTATCGAACGTTTAGTCAAGCTGATACGGTACTCCTTATCTGTTAAGATACCAGCTGGAAGGAGCTAAATTTGGTCAGAATAAACATATGAGCGTAATTTAATCTGTATTTGTGATCACCACGCATGAAAACACGGTCGTATACGAGAGGAAGCGCTTTCAGATTTGGCGTATAAATTTAAAACCACGGCATATCTGATGCTGCCCACTCATAATTCGAGAAATTAAACATTGCTTCATGAAACCCAGCAGCAATCACCCTCTATATTTGCTCTTACATTTTGTCTTGTATACCTATGAAACGCCTATCTTGATCATGCCATAGATGTGTTCACACCTTTCTGGCGCTCAGAGTTATTGAACATCTGCGACTTCCCAAGACCACTCAAGTAGAGCAGTCGAACCTTCTCCCCTGAAAAGATTCACCACTTTTACAACAGCCAACATTTGGCATTCTAAACCTTGAAAATATTCACGTTCCCTTAGAACTTCTTTACCATTTCTATCCTTCTTTTAGCTTATTATTTATTTAGTTTATTTATTTATTACACAAAGCTACAATAGGCTTATTTAGTCTGTCTTCGGCGTACTTCGTTCGGTCAACGAGTGCCTTGGTTTAGCTTACAAACACAATTCATAGTGTGCCAAATGATCTGTCTTCGGCGTACTTCGTTCGGTCAACACAATTCATAGTGTGCCAAATGAGTGTCTAGCTGACGTCTAATCCAGGTCACAAATTTTTGGAAAGTGGACTCTAAGTATATCCAATCGAGCGACCTCATTCATTCTAACTAAACCGAGGGAAGTGTATGACTTCAGTTAGACTGACAGTTCTATGGCAAGAGAGTCAAACACTGATGTCCTCATCACTTCGCGGCGACTAGTACGTGAAAGTTGCTTTCTTTGCTGAGATTGTTGCGGCAACTTTACTCCTAAACATCTTGCTTGCTGTGAATTTCTCACTTGCATGCGCCGGTTATGACAGGTGACAAAAACTCCCGGGTGTTTGTCACATACATATATTCATTTCTGGTTCACGGATTTCCTACATGGGCCGTTATCGCTACGGGACGATTACTGTTTTTCCTTAAAAAATATATGTATTGGAGTCTACTTTCCGCATGGTATGCAAATCACTGTCTATTTTAGTTTATTGACTGTCGACTGCGTGCGCAGTTTTGTCAAACTGTGCAGCGAGATTCAGCTGGGAAGCTGAACAGGATCGGGCATCGAAATCCATAGGAATAATAGATTGTCTGTCTTTTACACAATGACGGGTGGCGCTACTGTGGCCTACTAAACAACATACCAGGGACGTAGGCTGGAAAATAGTCGGTGTGGCTAGTGCATGTCCCAACTGACAGACGGCAGAATAAATGAAGATTCAGTTCATTTATTCCCGAGCGGTAGGTTAGTTTTCCTAGACGCAAGCAAATTAACACCGAGGTGCGCTTTGCTGTACAGGATTCATAAAACCTTAGATGATAAGATAGGTCTGCAAAGCTGAGTAATTCTCTGTGACATTGCTCTAGTTAAGTGAAGTACCACTAGCTTGGGCGCCGCACGGGAAACACGGGTACCTCATTGTCAACAGGAGGATGGATAACCTTGGTTACCTCACAGTTTGACTGTCCTCAATGCTTTCTAAATTACAGAATGTTCACAAAGGGAGATATATTAATTAGTACGTTCATAGACGATAGATATCACATACATTTCGGTCTTGCGTCAGAGGTAACATCGCAGTATCTTCCGTGCGTCATTTCTTCATGCTTGAAACTGGCCATTTTTGATGGGTGCACTCTGCGCCCTTATTAAGCGATTTCGTCCACAGTCCATTCGTGAAAAGGTGTCTTCGCACACCCAGGGCTTATTGTGATCGATTTGGTTGTTCATGAGTTGCGCGACGATTGGCCCGGTTTTATAATGCCTCGTTGCTTGCTAGAATATTGGGAATCGATGCACTCTGAACCCGAAGATCTTTCTGGTAGGCTATGTGTGTTTGATCAACCGGGTGAATCTTATTTACTGAGTAACTTCTTGGAAAACGGTTTGTCATGTAAAACAAGATATAATAAATTCTATATTTTTAGCCATTGATGGGGTTGTGTGCATTCTGCTGGTTTGGGGGTGTAACAGAAATACGTACTCATTTATATGCTTGTATCAAACACAGTAGACAGTCATTATGCAGAATACGACCCCACTTCACTGAGACATGAAATAATGAATATGGGCTCGAGTGCCATGGCTTTACATCTTCCCGTATTTGGCCATCCCACAGGGGATTAAAATACCTCAGGTTGGACTGAGATTGCTATTGATCATTTAGACTGTTGGAATCCGGTCACGAAACCCATAGCCCTACTTTTAGAGGAGCATAAAACGGGCTTCGAATTTTGTTGGTCAACGGCCAGTCCAACAACAGACGGCTACGACTTAATGTGCTCACTGCCATGCATAGATTGTTCCGGCTTTTGCTGA